TTTATATATATATATCTACACACACATATGTATATATGATATAAATATATATATATATATACATAAAATACAGATGATTTTTTCAAGTTCCCCTGAAAACATGAGGGGAAATTACACTTCTTCAGTAACAAAAATACAAAAAATATCTATATAAAACAAAAGCAAAACGTATTAAACACCAATATTATTTATATATATATATACTTACACACACACACACACGTATATATAATATATAATTTATAATATATTATATCTTATATATATACTATTATATATATACTATTATATATTGTATATTGTATATTATATATACACACATATAATACGGATGATTTTTTCAAGTTCCCCTGGAAACATGAGGGGAAATTACACTTCTTCAGTAACAAAAATACAAAAAATATCTATATAAAACAAAAGCAAAACATATTGAATACCAATATTATTTATATATATATGTATATACACACATACGTATATATTATATATATATATATATATTTACACACACACACACACACACATGTGTATATATAATAATATAATAATATATAATATATAATACATAATATATGTGATATATAATATATGTAATATATTATATAAAATATATACTATATACTATATACTTTATAATATATTATATATAATACTATGCTATATACTATATAATATATTATATATAATATATTATATTAAATATATATATACACACATATAATACGGATGATTTTTCCAACTTCTCCTGAAAACATGAGTGGAAATCACACTCCTTCAACAACAAAAATACCAAAAAAAATCTATATATAAACCAAAAATTCACTGTAATATAGCCATTTTTCCACTTCCACCAAATCCTTTGGGGGATTTATTTTTCTGGGCTAACCCCAGGGCGGGGTTGATGGATAAATTGGATTTTTCTGCAGGTGTGGGACAGTTTTGGCCGTGCCCTGTACAATTCCCAGCCCCACCAATATCCCATCACTGCCATTGCCTGGGCCCTGCATGGAGAATTGTTTGCTGTGGGATCCTTCAACACCCTGAGGCTCTGTGACAAAACTGGGGTGAGTCA